ATCCCTCCCACAAACAGAGCTGAATAAACAGGCAGGGAGCGTTTACACAGGCCCTGATAATCTGCTAATCCATAAAACCTGCTTTCTAACCCACACACACACACACACACACACACACACGAACACTTGCACACAGGAATGAATGTGTATACTGTGTACATATCCAGGAACACAAGCAGACAACTGTGCATGAAAGCAGAAAATACACAGTTTCACAAAAACATTTGCAGACGCACACACACACACAAACACACACACACACACCGTATCAGTGACTTTCGCCCATTATCCTTTCTGACCTCCTCAACGGGACATGGTTGATAGCCTTGTCGATGTTGATAACAGACAGAAGGGTTAATAGGGATTAATGGACTGTGCGCACACACACACACAGACATGAGAGTGAGCGTAACAATCCAGTGCTGATGAGTTTACAGGCTTTCATGTATCATTGCAGCGAGCGTTTATGTTTGTGCATTTGATTAGTCAAGTGAAAGTATCATGTAGCTGTCGCCCCGGCAGCATTCCCGCGGCTTGATGGGATAATTGAAGCGTGAAAAAGCCATATAGAGTTTGTCAAAACTCTTAATGGTCTGAATTTAGCATCGTGGACACCATGAGTACAGTGCTTGGTGTTATCAACTTCCCCTGTATGGAGCAGACAGAGATTTTACCACAGAGATAGAAAACATAACTGCATTTGTAATTTTGATCAGTTTATGACCTGCCCAGTGAAATTAAGACTCTTCCATCTCACTCATGCACTCTCTATATATTTTTTATTACTTAATTTGCTTTATGTAGACATACATTAAAAAGCATATATCTTGGACAGTTTTCATGCATTATGTATAAAAAAGCTTTGGAGATTCATTGTGTTGCTGTCTTTGTTGAGCATTTACTTCTGTTTTTGAGTTTCACTTTGATACATTTCTATTTGGCCTGTCTATCAAATGCTACTGCTGTTCTTTTCAATTGACCCTCCGCTAAGTCACGCCCCGAATACATAGCTGGCCAATCACAGCGCAGTATAGGACTCGTTCTAAGAGAGGTCCGACACTTTCATGGATGCGCCCCATTCACTCTAATGCAAAAGGAGTCGTTTTCTAGCTTTCTTCTGCCGTATTTTTAAGATATGGTCAAATGCTGTTCCTGGGCCACTTGTAATAGTCACAGCAACTACCTAAAAAGATTGAAAGGAGAAGCACAATTTATTCTCTTTCCAAAACCTAAAATAAATCCAGAAAAATGTAGGCCGTGGGTTGTTCCTAATGTGATGTTAGTTAGCTAACGCTAGCTAACTTCCTACTGAATGTAATGTTATAAAGCCCTACTGTTCTGCTTTGTAACAACTGTAATAATGAATAGAGGTCTACCTAACTTTACAGGAACATTGATGATCGTTAATATCGTTGTCTTTTGTCTCAATCATTGGGGGATGCAGTGGTTCACTTGTAGGCCTACTGTGTGATCGGTAGGCTTTAGCTTTTCTATCTTTCATTTTTTTTCACGTCTGTTTGAGTCAGTTTGACAGCCTGAATACAACCTTCAAATGTATAATGCAACTGCAAAACTGTTTGCTTCTTTCTGAGATCGCTTTTTCCAACAAATTTGTCAATATTCCTCCAGGGAGTGCAGTAATAGGCAGTGGCAGCGCCAACAGTTTGTCGGACTTCGCCACAGTAACTAAGGTGGCCGTGGCTTAGCGAAGGGTCAATTGATAACAAGCGTTTACCTAAACATAAGATACTTTATTGAAACTCTTAACAAATAGTACATTTTCTTTTGTTCTTTAAGCACCAACTCTACATTTCAAAATGCAATAAAACATTCTCTACATACACAAATCTCAAATTTCTATCAAAACACAGCAAACGTGACTCAAAAGCAAATCATTCTGTCAAAACACTAGCACGTTTTCTCTCCAAGAGGAACAGATCAATCAATCATAGCACAACGAATTTCTAAATATAAACAGTCGATGGACAATGTGAAATCCATTGTTTTTTGTAATTCATTCTCTTTTTACTGTAAACCACGCTACATTTTTGGCTTGAGGGTCAAATGTGTGCATTTTTGGCAACAAACTATGTAAAAGTGAATGAGTCATCTTTACTTTATAGAATGTAGAGTAAAGGAAAAAATGTAAGTGACAGAATTAAAGAAGTAAAAGCTTTATTAGCAGCATTAAATTGCTGCCAGTGACCAACAAATAATCCAACCTATGTGGCTTTTGGTTCAGAATGGGTAAAAATACTGTCAAATACGTTTGCGTTCCTTGTTGGCCACTTGCAATGCCATCCATCCACAAAACAAACTCAGTCCAGGCTGTTTTCATCTGTAACACCACAATGGTGGAACGAGCTACGTACCACATGCCATCAGAGCAGGGGCGTCCCTCTCTAACTTCAAGAAGCTCATGAAAACTCATCTCTTGTGAGAGAACTTCTTCTTATAACATCACTAACTCCTAACCTCTGTCTTATATCTCCTTACAATTCTCTTGTATTGATTGCACTATTCGTTAACTCTTACTTCTTTCTCTATGTATTTACCCTATTGATGCTATACGTGCTAACAACAAAAAAATGCACAGAAGGGAAAGAAAAAATGCCTGTCCTGTTCTAATCAATATTATCTTCAGCATTTGGCCACATGTTCTCATCCACATCACATTTATTGTAATGTCATCTCTCGCTGTGCACCTGGATACAAACACTTACTGGTTCAGCTACTCCTCTCCCTGGCCCAATTATTCTTCTTCCTTGTTCAGACAATATTCTTTCTTTCTCTCCTTTTTACGTGTTGTTCTGTATCCTCATTGGATAGACTCAACTCCAGAAAGTCCCCTTTTTGGTGCATTGTGTATGTAATTGAAAGAACTTCAACTCTCTTGTTGAGATTGGAATTAGCTGTGATGATCTATTTTACCCAAATTACAAAAAACATCAAATGTTTCAATGATATGTTCATTCAGAAATGCTTATCAGCTGTTTCAATATAGATTTTGAGCTGCTATTGTAGCAGAGGTAGAGGCTTTATACATTATTTAAGGTCTTGAAAATTCTTTTGACATGTTGTGTGCTAGCATTTGTAAATAACACAAAAAACATCCATAGTTTTGGCATTGGGTAAGCTTGTACATAAAGAAAAGCTTAGCATTTTAGAAATGGGTTAATTGACTGCATATTCTGTGTAAAAATGAATTGTGTTAATGGTATGGTATGAACAGGCTGATGTTGGGCTAATTGTGTTTAGAGTAGTGAAAATGTGACTACAGATTAGACAAAATGATGTTAGCGGTTGTAAAAAACTGTAATTGACCGTTTTGTCAGGGAACCCACATTTTCATTACAAAGATGGAGAGATCGACACCAACACTGAGCTTTAGTTTTTAGTAGTGCTGGACAACAATTAAAAATTGTGATTAATCGCATGTTTTTCTGCGATTAATCGCATTGTTATGCACAATATTGAATTATGAAGTCTAAAGTAGTGTGTTGCGCACTTTAAATGTACTGGTAAATACACAAAAGTGCTATAACATGTGGTTTACAAACACTTTAAACAAATAATTCATTCATTTTCACCAGCAGTATTCTTCTCACAGTAGCAATAAAATATTTCTTGTAAATCTCAAGTTAAACATTAATTTATTATAATTTATGAATTATTCAAATATAAAACCAAAGCTATTTAACACAGCCAGGGCATTACCTTTTATCTAGCTTGTTAAAACAAGTTATCATAACATCATAACCGGCACCTTCTGAGCAACAGGTCAATCAATCAAGTCAAGTATCTGCAGAAACATTTTTCTTTTATCGGGGAGCAACATGAACAGTCTATGTTTAGTAGCAAGTATCCCTGTTAGAGTGAGGTGAAGTGGTTGAGCACAAGGTGGAGCGACAAACGGGCGCGATTCCTTTGAAACTGTCACAGTTGTGCTCGCCTCACGCACACAAACGCCTGCTCTTGAACTTTTTGTACGCGACATGCAGCACAATTTATTGGAAGAGAGACTGATTCTCGTTGTTTGTGAGTTTCCAGAATCTATTACTGTTTACTAAATAGTTATCAGGACACCAACAGGAAGGAATTTGCATGGTAAAGTTATGAAGCCTATAATTTTAAGTTAAACAGGCTACAGCTGTGTAGTGCACAGAAGCCGTTGCCATGGTTACTATCCATAGAGCGCCTGACATTTACTCGCGGAGCGCTGTCTTACTTCTCCCTGCATGTTGCATCCAAGTAGTCTGCTGAAGCCTCCCTCCACTGCTTGTTTGGAAGGATGATTTGCAGGCTGATCAACATCTCACCCCTCCTGTGACACTTGGTTTGACTGTATGCGTATTCAGAGCCAGTGAGCAATGGATTTTCAAAATAATAATAATAATAATAATAAAAACGTCTTTAACGTGACATGAAATAATTGTTAATGTTAACTTGCCCAGCCCTTGTTTTTAGGCAATTAGTGTTAGAGAAGTATTAGGAAATATTATTATACCAGATCCAGATTGGTGAAAATCTGTTTGAATGGGATTGGGGCCAGACCAACCTGTTCTCTTCCCAGGGTGTCACATATTGGAGCTTGGTCAAGTCCCCATGGCATTGCTTTTTAACAGCCTGGGTACCCTTTAGCATTGTTTTTACATGTGTAGGGCTCTGCGGTGAAGTTAACAATAACAAAAATGCAACATCTGTTGGTTTAGGCACCATTTTTAGGTAAAATAACTCGTGACTTAACTCATGTAAATTAAGTAACGTTACATACATTTTGTCTGTAAGTTGGAAACATGAAGGTTTGTTTGGGTATTAGAGCTTTTTTGCTTATACTTTACCTTTTAAGGTTTTTGGAACTCAAAAGTAGTATTTTTCTTTCTAACATTTTAACTTTCTTCCATTACACTTTGACTTATACTACCCTTCAGTAACACATTGCTTTCACCGACAGCATCTTTGTCAATTTAACATTTTCTCCCCTCCTCTGTTCTCCTCAGGTACGGTGGACAAAGACGGCAGGCAGTGCATCGGACAAGTTTCAGGAAACATCCATCTACAACGAGACACTGCGCATCGAGGGCATCCAGAGGGTGCAGGGGGGTCGCTACTACTGCAAGGCCGACAACGGGGTGGGGGTGGCTGCCATCAAGTCCATCCGTGTAGATGTGCAGTGTAAGTGGGTAGGGAGAAAGAGAAAAAAAACAACCCCTTCCACTTTAAGACCACAGCTGACTATCACTACAGCTATTCCCACTGTTAGAGAAGACTGAGATGGGGGAGATGGAAAGATTGGAGGAGGAAAGATGAAAGACAGATAGGATGGAGGATGAGATTTCAGGTGGGAATGGCTTCCAGGGGTATCTGATGACTTATGGTGGAAAGGATAAAAAGTATGGTCAAATAGATCAAATAGAGTATTTGGAAAGGGTATAGATAAGATAATACTTTTGCCTTAATTGTACCATTGGTTACTGTATGGATAATGCAGGTGTGTGTACTCCACCAATGAGGGTAATTAGAACAAACTGTTTTGTCAGATACTCCTGGGAAAAGTGAAGTCTGTGGAACAAATCAAGAGTTTTATAACAGTTAGTCCAGGTGGTACGGGCTCCCTAACTCACTGTTTCTCAACTTACCCAAGTCCCAACTACTCTACTGAGACTGAGAGATCCTCAATGTGCTGTTTAGCTCTGTCACATCCTCTGATTCAACAGCACCTGCCACAATTAGTAACACGTCAGTGACTTATCGGTTTATAATTAGGGAGATCAGCTCTCCTTTTCAGACCTTGTTACATATCTTTTGAACTGTCCCTGTAGTCTGGGGCTCTATAATGGGTATTTGGTTATTGTTTGTAACACAGACAGTAGAAGTTGTTGAGAAGCAGTGTTGTGTTGTAGGGGCCCTGTGCTGCTGCTTGTTTCACTGCCCCACTGTCCCTGTGTGTCAGGGGCCAGGTCATGGCGACAGGTTGATGCATAAACCCAACACATGCAATTGTATACAGTTTATTTTAAAGGTTTTTTTTATTCCCAGCACCCTAAAACCCCTGTCCGTCAGTTACATCACTTTATTGCATAGATATTTCCTGCCTTCATTGATTCAATCATTTTAATGGTGGGTTTATAGACTAATAGAAAAAGGTTGATTTTCCAAGGGCCCGATAACACTAAACATCTATTACCTGCCTTTCAGTTGCTAAATTTATCTCCTTTTTTTCTGCTCTGCTCTGTGTGCAGTACAACACCATGGTCTGCCACCCCTCCTTTAGCATCAAATCTCTCTCTCAGTACACCAAACTATGCAGTCGCAAGCATACACACATATAGACACACACACACATGCTCGCCTCATGCTTTTCCCTCTAGGATTTGTCACTTACACACCGCCCTGCCTCAGCCTCTTAATGGGGCTCTCCCTCCCTCCTTCTTCTTCCTCCCTTTCTGCTGTTAGTGTTAGTTCTCCCCAGGCGCTAGCTTGGCCCCTGCTGGGGAGCTGGTAATTGTAGGGGGCCTGGGTAGTAAACAGGTTGTATTGTGTGTGTAGTTGTGACAGGAGCTTTGTGAAGCTAACCAGCTCTGACGGCCAATGCTTGTTCAATTCCCCAACACCCATGCTGTGTTAGACCCAGCGGCGATCAGCCACGCTTCTGCACAGGGCGACTTTAGTTCTAGAACGATGTAACAATTAACCCAGGGTACCGAGATAAAATAGAGAGAGAGTTGGAGAGAAATAAATGAATGTGGAGGTAAAGATGGATGGGAGAGTGAGGGAAGAGGCAACCTAAGTAGGGACGGAGAAAGAAAGAGAAACACGGGCACAGCAACCTCTATGGCTCAGTGTCTCTGAATATGCAGTTTCAACAGCAGGACAATTGGAAAGACCACCAAATTCTATACTGTACAAGTACCAAAAAAGTCAATGCAATTTATGTATATTAATGTACAGATGAGTGACAAATTAAAAGAAAAAAATAACATGGTTTCTTATTAAGGTGTTCAGCCAAAACAGCTTCCATGCAACCGGCACAGAATCTCTGAAACCAGTTGAAACAAACATTGGGAATGCAAGTTTATTTTTTAACTGTAAAATGTACTGCTCAGTACGTATCTTGGTTAGAATATGTTTTTAAAAAAGTTTAAGGTATTTCCATCATGTTTCTTGTTTGTTGTGTAATGAATGAATATTGGTTGATATATTGTTATCAGATTGATGTATTTTTAAAGCATCAATATGAAAATCAGCCTCAAAAATCCAGTATCAGTTAGACTATGACAGATGTTTCTGCACCCTTTTATTCAGTATATCCTTTTATTTGTCACCTGTCTGTATATTCAATTATACTCAATTCAATTTTATTTAGATAACACCAGATCATAACAGATGTAATCTCACTGCACTTTTCAAAGAGATCAGGTCTAGACCTTACTCTTTGTAATATCACATTTAATAAAGCTGATTAGCTCATTTTCCCGCTAATATTCATCTTGCTGGCAATAATTTAAAAAATAATTATTTCATTACTTTTGGGCTTGGTTTGCTTGATTTACAGGACCGATCTAATCTGCTCCATCCAGACTGCACCTTGTTGCCAAAATCAACTGAATAGATGGCAGCTAGTGATAAACACAAACTTCCAGCTCCAAAAAGCCCTGTCAAAAACCAATGGGAGATGTCAAAAATTGTATATTGATGTTTTTCAACAAAGATGTGTAAGTGTAAGAAGAAACAGAAGAATATGTGTAGTTTAAGCAGGAATGTGTAGGGGGAAATGTGAAGTAAAAAATAGACAATGTGCGCGGGAAATTATAGCGTACTAACAGTATGCGAATGCTGACCTCTCTTGGATGTGCAGGTCAGAGTGTAGTTACCTAACAAGAACTCGACCATTCCAGGAAAAACTGAGCAGCGAGTATAGGAAAAGGCTGAACTAGAAAAGAGTGGTGATTTATTGTAGCTGAATAGATTGTAGAATTGAGGTAGTTGTAATTTCCACTCAAAAAAAAAGCGAAAGAAAGCAGAGAAGAAGAGAAACAAGAAGAGGAAGAAGAATAAGACAGATGGAGTAGGAGGTAAAAAAGAAAAATGAACAGAGGGAGAAGGAGAAATGGAATTTAGGCAGGCAAAAGACAGAGGGGGAGAGAGACACTCTTTCAGTACTGCTGGCACTCATATGTTTTTCAATTTAGATGCATCCAACAGACCAGTTATTGGACTGGAGGGCAGAACATGTTGTTACCTGTGCAGGGTACAAACATGAGTGTTAGTTCTCGCTTTCTGTTTCTCTCGATCACACAATTTGTGTTTTTTTCCCATGCCTTTGCCTTTTTAACTGAAATGACCTAGCATTGCACTTTCTCTTCACTCTTTATTTTTCCTCTCTTCTTCCCTCATTCCTCCTTCTTTTATGTTGTCCTCTCATCCACCATGTTTTTCTTCCTTCCTGCCTTTCTCTGTGAACCACACACCCCAGTGCGTGATGAAGCAGTGTCCTTTTTTGTGTGTGTGTTTGTGTGTGTCTGCGTATGAAGTGAGTCAGCTGGGGTCTCTCCCCTCTCAGCTGTGAGGCTCAACCAAACACAGCAGTGTCTGGCATTAGGTCATCTGCCCTGCATGCGGATTTAACTTTGCTTTTTTAGACAATCGCATGGATGCAAGCAGGCATGCAAGAAAGCATGCACGCGCATATACAAACACAAATATGTAGCATACACACACCCTTTGTATTTACATACATGCCACACACTTTCACGTATCTACATATTCTCAAAAGCACACACTCTCACTTCAAAGTGCAGTGTGTAAGAGCAAGAGGAACAGTAGCAAAGAATAAAGAGAGACAGAGTGAATGACAGATTGAAACGGAAAAGACAGTGTGAGAGTTTCAGGATCGGAGCAAAGGTGCATATACAATAGTCTGCTTTGAATAGAAGGCACATAAAGTAACAGTCACTTGTATATTACCCGTATCTCACTCAGTCATTTCTTCCCTTCCTTTTTTCAATTTGTCTTCTTTACCTGCATTACCTGCCAGCTTGTTTTCCATATGAACCTACATGTAGGACCTTCAGTCAACAAATTCTAAAGGCTATATCAATCAGTTGACCAATGACCTGGCACTCTAACCGCTGAGGCAGTGGGACAGTGAGCAGGCGGGGTTTAACTTTGAGTAGCCTCTACTGATGGGATGGACTTGGTTCAGAAACCCAACCAATGACATTTAACCTTACATCAGATTTTTAAAAAACTGAATTCATTAGAGAAAAAAATGTTAGTTCAGCTTAGTTCAGATGAAGTCCTCTCTGTGGATTCATTGCTCTCTTCAGGACACAACCAGGTAAGTGGAAAAGTGTTGGGGGTAATGATGATGATGGTGATGATGATTATGATGGGATAATATTTATAAGAACACTGCAAAAGACAGTAAAACAGACTTTATTACCGTAATCCAAAGAATGGGTTTTCAAAGTCTGACAGTCCTCCTCAGACAAAACTGAGACAAATAACAAACAAATACAAGAATAAGAATCTCTGGCAAGTTCTGGTGTTATAAGGATCATCTTTTTTCTATGAGTTCTCAGCGGGTTTATGGACGTTGATTGGTGGTATACGGTTACAGTAGTCAGACTGACTTTTTCAATAATCTCTTGTGGCATTGTCAGTAATGACAGAATAAGTCAATCGTGTATAAGACAGTGAAACTCCAAATGTACACAAGTTCTTTCACAGCTTTGGCAGTTATCACCCTAACTGTCACTGGCTATTGGAGTCAGTAGAAGGATGTGTAATCTATTATTCCAGCACTGTGGTTTTAGAAATACCCCCCGTGCAGTAATACAAGTGCTCTAGAATTGGTGTTTTTGACAGTGGCACGCACGCACACACACTTTCACACCCATAAATAGCGGCCTAGGTGGCATTTAGTCTGTCCGTGTTGGCCAGAGTCTTCTGTCACAACACAGTCTCTGTGCTTCAGGGTGACACCAGTCCTGGCTGGAGCAGGAGGAATGGGCACTGTTGCTGCTGGCACTGGGTAGAAACGCAGTATGCACACACACTCACACACACACACACACACACACACACACACACACACACACACACACATTCAGTACAAGCCACAAAAACAAACACACTTTACACAGAAAGTAAAGTATAGTGGTATAGACAGG